TGCACTTGCCTTTGTTGAATTTCAAAAGGTTCCCCTCTGCCCATCTCTCCAGCCTGTGTAGATCCTTCTGAATTACAGCACATCACCCTGGGGTATCAGCCACTCCTACCTGGTTTGTATCATCAGGACACTTGTTGAGGAGGCAGTCGATCCGTTCATCCAAGTTAGTGATGAATAAGTTAAACAATACCAGACCCAGTATTGACCACTGGTGGACACTGCTAGTTACAGGTCTCCAGCTACACTCCATGCCACTGACCACAACCCTCTGAGAACTGACATTCATCCAGTTCTCAATCCACCTCACCGTCCACCCATCCGTTCTGCAATTCCTGAGGTTGCCTATGAGGATGTCATGGGAGACAGCGTCTAAAGCTTCAATGAAGTCCAGGTAGACAACATCCACTGGATGTCTTTGAAGCCATGAAAAAAAAGCATCATCAGAGAGATCTTTAACTGATAACAAAACTATTTGGTCATTAACATCACTGATGATAACCACAAAAACAAATAAATGAAGAGACGCATTAAGTCATCTGTGCTCAAGGAAGATCTTTACCCCCTCTGATAATCTGGTTTCAGCCTAGAGCCCCTCTCCTCAGACAATCATTGCACTTCTCAAGTTTTCCTCTACATGCAGACAAGCATCTTATGTTAGCCAGGAGATATTGTCCCTTCCATTAGGCTTTAGGTGCTATTTTGCCCCAACCATACGATGAACCCTTAGGCACTACAATAACGCAAGTAGTGATGCTGCTGCCAATCGGGATCTGGCTGTAACTTGAGCAGTCATATCCTGAACCCACCTCCTGGTCACATAAAGCCCCTCTCCACTTACCCAGACTACATTACAGTTACATATCATTCGTCTATTAATTACCACAGAGCAGGCATCAAATTCCTGCTTCTCATTAGGTCCAACTCACATATCTGGTAGCCCTCATTTTCCCCTGTACCTCCAAATATACCAACCAACAAGATGAATTGAGTGGTCTGCTTCCTTTATGACTTCACAGTTACTGAGTATCTATTAGATATTAGTCATTCAACAGACGTGTCAACCACTGACAGCAACCACAGCTGATGAATTACTGTGATATTGATTTTGGTTGTGTTTGGAAAATCTACACATGCAGTAGGACATGATAATTTCTACTGCAGCTGCTGGGAAGGAGAAGTAGAGGTCTTTAATAGAGGAAAAAGCTTATTTTACCTGTTTTGTCATGTCTCCTGCGCAGAGATCAAGGGGTGGGAAATGGGTGCAGTGATCTAACCAGTTTTAAGGGGACCTCTGGATGTCTCTGATCCAACCATTCAGCCAGAGCAGGACAAAACTAAACTGAACTAAACTAAACTAAACTAAACTTACCTTAAAGTTCAGTGTTTAATCAGAATGCTCAGAGCCTTGTCCAATCAAGTTCTGAGTTTCTTTCAGATAACCACTGGTCCCAGTCTCAGTCTAATAAATGAGCTCCTAGAAATTGCCCACTACAAGGCATAGTGGGTTATGTAATGCTTGTATGTAGGAGGAAGAGTGTTGCCTTATTTATAGGGAGTTATAAGGGTATGTACTCAAGGGGAAGAAAATTTATTCCCTCCAACAAGAAAACATAAGTAAATATCTTCCTATCTGTAATAGAAAAGCTTCTTGTTTTCCAGAAGTAGCATAAACTTTACTGATAAAGACTGAAAAAAAATAAAATAAAATTTGAAAGTATTTGAAGATATCTGCCACTTCTCTTTTAATTTACATCGAGCTCAGTAAGGACACCAGAGCTCTGACATTGACCTGTACTCTGACTTTGAGGGGAGAAAGCGTCATCAAGGCAAACACACTCAGATTTGGGTTCCTGAAGGATCTCAGCTGGTAAAGGACTTAAGCAGCAACTTAATCTCAAGAAAGCTTTCACCAGAGCCAAGAGAAAGGCTTGAGTTGATTTCGAAAGGCTTTAGATAATACTTAATATCTTTTTTGTTTCAGTAAGCATTTGTTAGTGTCCCAGCTTTCAGATCTCCAGCTAGGAGAGAGCTACATGTCAGAATAAAACAAATCCCAAGGGGTAAATTCTAATCTCAAGGGAAAAAAATCACTTTCAATGTTCAGACCAGGAAGAATTGGAAAATAATTATTTAGAACTTGGGAAAATCTTGGAACCAAAATATGAGAGTTCCATTTGTATAATTCAGACCTAGTGGAAGCATTTCAAGAGGTGTATTTCCTACTGAGACCCTCTCATCTTGCCTATGACAATTGCAAACGAATGCGTTCCATAACCATGGAAAGTATTTTTATCACCATTGCAATGTTCTGCAGTAGCTGTATTTGAATGCTTAACTATTCACCTTTGCCCTACTGAGGTAACCCAAACCACTGACACAGTTAGAGTATATGAGCCTGGACTTAGGGTCAGGCTGGTTGAACCTAACCTTCTGCTACCTTGTGGGCTTTTGAAATCTTTTTTCTTCTAAACTTGGAAATTTAACTGACCCACTTTGAATGGATATTTCAGTAAATGGCATTAGAGAAAACCCCTTCTGAGAGAACCATTTCCTTTAACCTCTACATCTCTAGGAGGGAAACTGAATTATACATTTAGCTTTTCAAGCATCAGCATCATTTTAAACAAGCTGATACAGGTTGTGGCTATCCCAGAAACTGGGATAAATTCTACCCTTATTTACATCCTCCTTTGGATGACACAAGGTGAGTAAAATTTCGACTTACACATAAATATTAAGCAAATGTAAAACACACACATGCATCATTTTAGTCTGTAAACACCACCAAAATTAAACCTGAGAAAAGGGATGCATCACCAGTCTGAGATACCGAGTCTTACACAAGGATGTTACACTGAGTCTTACTTTCTGGTGCACATTCTAGCTACTTGTAACCCACTGTCAAAGCAAAGTGACAAGAGTAATATCCTAAGACAGAAATGTTAGAGAAGGATACACTCAACATTCACCCCCTCATTTCTAAAGTGTAAGCCCGTTTCTCAAGAATCTCCCTGAAATTCAGCCTACAAGCAGCATCAACACGCTTGTGTCTGCCCATCACCCACCTATTTATTAGAGAAATACTCATCAGAAGCCTCATCAGAGAAGGTGGCAGTAGCTGGTTTATTTTATCTCATAGCTCATTATGATCAGCATCATTACCTGGGAAGCTGCAGCCTGAGAAATTTGAGCCTGCCCCTCTCTTTCTGTGCCAGTTTTTGTAGCACTCTGGGTGGAGGATCTTCCTTTGAGAGATGCTGAGTTGGGATTTTTGCCTGGGATTTTTGCCAGTTTCTAGTTCCTGGTCCAGTTTCTTCTTTATCCAAAATTTTCCCATCTCTACTTTGCTGCTGTGAGCTCTCAACAAAGGATATTGAATGATGCCACAGAAGCACCCTGTCCCTATAAAATCCCAGTGGCTAAAATATTTACTATAGATTTAAATCCCTGAAAGCAGATGGGAGAGTGAATGCAAACATCCTTCCTTATAGGCAAAGTCTCATTCAAGCTCAAGCCCTCAGCTTTTATTGACGTCCAGGGCTCATCAAGACATCTGCCATGAAAAATCAAAAACCAAGGCAGTTGCTAACATGTAAAGCAACAACAACGACCCCAAGTCACAAAGGGGCACAGCCTTGAAGCAGCCCGACCTCTCCAGGTCTGTAACCCCCTTACAGTATCTTAGTGAAAATCTAGAAAAATACCCCTGCATGCAAAAAAGAGAACCTGAGTGCCACCGTGTCAAATGGAGTCAGTCCGCTTAAATGCGTGGATGTAAATATTGCCTCTTTAAATGCTGATATAGCAGGGTACATCACAGCTGCATTATATTGGTCTCACAAGGATGGAGAGACAGCAGGGTAGGATCAGGAGCTACATGGGATCACTGATCACTGTCACCCAGGACACAGGTCTGGGACACAGGGAGTTGTAGTGCCTTGGGGCTACATAATGCAAGGTATTTTAGCTCCTTATATTTGCAAGTGCAGCATACTATTACCTCTACACCGTGCAGGAAGTGCCTATAGTTCCTACCAGTTTTTCTGCCTACAAGAGGAGTCTTTTTGCATCTCAAAACCTTCAAAGGTTTCTCTTGAACGCCTCTGTCCTCTTCCTAACTTAGGAACTGAAGGCTTAACTACATCCATCACACTTCCCAGAGCCCTTTCCATAGGATCAAAGCCCTGTGTCACAGGACAAGAGCCTGAAATGAAATTAAAAGGTGGGAAGCTCAAAACCGATGTTCACAGTGTTTTTTTCCTAGGCAGAGGATGACTGAACTTGGGTACTCAGTTTCACAAAGAATTCTGATCAAAAGTGACACATCATACCTGAGGCGTAGACATGAATAAAAATAGCTTGATCCAGAAATTTGAGGGGAAAAAATAAGATCTTGAGAAGGAATCTAGTCCCTCAGAAATCAAGACATCACATGGCAAGTATCAGAGAGCAAAGGGATGGGGGCCAGCTGTGCAATATCTGCCCAATATAGGGTGAAAAGACATCAGACTGACCTAGGAGCAAATGGATCCAATCTGGCAGTGCCAGTGGCACAAGTGATTTTGATACCTACAGCATCCCAAGTCCAGACCATGGAGCACATCAACTTATGTTTGACGAGAGGACAACTCTGGTCCCAGTTTACAATTGCACACTTTGCACTCACTGCACTGCGTGCAAAATTTTTGGTGGTTTTCTAATACCATCACTGAGTTTTGTTACTACTTGAGTGACAGGGCTAAAGTAATGACATCACCTACAGGTCTAAGAAAGGGTGAGCCCATATCCTGTCTTCCACCTGCGTTAATGGAATATATATACATACACTTTGTAAGTTAAGTTATGGTCAGAAACCACAGTTAAGGTTGGGAAAAAACACCTACTTCAAATTAACTAGGACAGCACAGAAGCCCTTATAAAAACTCCAGTAGCAAACATGCCCAAACACCATCAGTTCAACAGAGCTCAGCACAAGCATCAGCAACAGGAAAAGAAGGAAGATGTCTCTGATCCTTTGTGCTTCTCTGGTAAGAACTTGCTTTCAGTTTCCCCCCTCCCTGTTTGATAGAGACATATTTAAATTGTAATAGATGACTCTCAGGAATGGGGATCTGCAGCTATCTTTAAAATGCTTGCTTAAACCATTGATAACTGAAAATAACTAAAAACGGGGACTGCTGGACAGCACCAGGATGAGGCAGCAATAAGACTGTACGGGTATATTAGTGAATGAGGCTGCTGCAACCTACTCTGACTCAAGAAATATGTTGAAAACTCAACCTTAGAGTGTCTTCTTGTTGTTACATCCTTTCTGCTATCTCCTGTATTATTTTCAATAATTTAAATTTTTTATAACCAAATTACAACTGACTGTGTATACCATACCTGTCATAACCGTGAGAATTACTTGATGAAAGCAAAAGAGGATGTGATATATGGCACATTTTTCCATAATTACTCCAACCTGCAGTATAGGTTTTAGCTAGGCTGACCATGGATGAATTTCTGAGCTGCACAAGGATCTGTTAGGGTGTGCTGTGTTAGAGCAGCTGTATTGTGTCGTGTTCTAAATGCACTGGTTGTTTTCAGTTCAGATCACTGCTCTTACTGCTGCTGGCCATGCTGTCAGCCAGCAGTTCTGCCTACGGGAAGGTGATACAGCCTGGACTCAAGGTGGAGAGCCTCTTCAAGCAGGCGTATGCTGGATGTCTGACACCAAAAGACTCAAAATTCCCTCAGACTGTGAGAGTCAACATAAGCATCAGCAACACAAACCAGGACAACAAAATGATTCCTGACATCAGCAGCCGCTCCCTGGCTCCATGGGATTACAGGTATGACCTCTGCCCCGGTGGTCTAGAAATACAGTGGCTGGCCTGACTGCCACAATAATGCGAGGGCTTGCCCACATCTTTATTTTCAGTGCTTCACTGTTGAGATTTTGGAAATAGGAGGGCATCCACAGTCCAAATAATCCTCTTTGAAAGATAACCAATGCAGAAAGGAGCATAGAGCAAAACCATGGTTTAGACCAACATACAGAAGGGAAAGCAAATTAGTTTTGTAATTTAATTAATTTATTTGCATATTGGGGAAAACTTTATCACTAAAAGCATTCTTTACCTAAGACATCATGAAAAATACCTCAGAGGGCTGACATTGTCCTCTGAGGGCACCAAATCCAAACCACCAAATTCAGTGGTGGTTTAATAGCATCAGCATCAGGCCCTAAGAATATTTCATGCTTTTGGGGGGAGCTGAAGGTCTTCGGGTCCATTAGTCAATCTGACATGTTGGGAAGCTCCAATCAGTCTTTCAAAGCCAGTACCTATTTGCAAAGGCAGTTGCATGCAGTCCTGGCATTCTTGTCTTACACTTAAAACCCCACCGTATTTACTTACACTTTTTTTCTTAAGAACCTGCAGCAGTGGAGGGTCTACTGCTCATTCATAGGTAATCCCCCAGGAGGCACACGTTCCTGAGCTGGGAGCCCATACTGATTCAATCGTGCCTCCAGAGATGCAGCAGCAGTTCCATTTCAAATGCTTCTTTCCATGTCAATTCACAGTATAGATGAGGACCACAACCGTTTTCCGCACGTGATTGCTGATGCCACGTGCCGGCCCAGGTGTGTGAATTTGGACGGGCAGCTGGACCACAGACTCAACTCCGTCCCCATCAAACAGGAGATCCTTGTTCTCAGGAGGGAGCAGAAGGGCTGCCACCAAACATACCGACTGGAGAAGAAAACCATCACGGTGGGATGCACATGCGTCACCCCCTTGATCCGACACCAGGCTTAAAGGAAGCCAGTAGTGTAAGAGCAGGGAGCTGTGGAGAAAAACTTCCTTGCCTAACAGCACTGAAATGAAGCAGCCTGATTCAGTCTCTGCAAAACTGAATCAAGATACAGTGATTAGCTAGAATCTATCAGAACATACTAAAATTTAAAAGAGTCTCAGTAAAAAAGAAATCTTTCCCCCCAAAATCTTGAACTCTATGAATTCAGAATCCAGACACCTTCATGTGCCAGGCTGGAAAAGTAATGGGTACTCTCTACACATCTTTAGTTTACACTTTTAATTGTCTATTTATGTAATTCTATTTATGCTGATGGAAAACTTCGTAGTAATGTATCTGTTTATTTATCTTTGCTCAATAAAAGAAAAATACTATGTGGTATTCTCCTTTCTTTCTAAAGAAGATTTTTTGATGAGGAAAGTAATCACCCAATTCAATTATGACCATAAGAAATTGCATGATACTAAAACCTAAAATTCTCTTCATAACCTCTAGATCTGCTGCAGTAGAATGCAAACCCCATATGAAAGTTAGGGCTTGTATCAACACCCTTTTACTGTGAGAGAAACTAAGCTATCTGAAGGAAAATTATTCACCAAGTGACACCCAGTAGTTTCACATTTAAAAGAGACTAGCAAAAAAATCAGTGGGTAACTACCCAGTTTTCCACCTCATTATCTGATCAGAAAGCAATTTGTAAAGATAGGTTCAGCACAACACTTCAAATGCTTCTTTGGGGGGAAAGAAACTCCCTCCACTAAAACGGCATTTTCCACTGCTGACTTTTAACTTTGCTCAATGCTACATACTGAATTTCAGTCCAATTTCAGCACATTTTCTGTGAATCTGGGTCACTAGCTGGGTACACAAGGAAAAGCACATGAGTATGTTGGGTGGATAACTGAAGTGATTAACCACGTATTGCTAACTGCAGTGGTCATTTTCTCCATGCTCGTGTACTTCCATTCACTGCCAGCAGTTAGTGCTTCAAATGTAAAGCAAACTGACACAGCACTTCTACCATGGCTGCAATGGGATTTGGGGAGGTGGATGTTTAGCGCTGCAGGTGGGTTTATTTAAAGCACTCTTGGGTTAAAATGTTCCACATTTCAAAATGCAAGCTGGTTTGTGAAGATGTGGATGCTTTGTTTGCTGCCATCTTAGAGATGTATGACCCTGCCCAGGCACTGGCAAAATGTCATTCGCAAACGCAACAGCAAATAATTCATTTCTAGAGATGCAGAGCTCAAAGACGCAAGTCCCTAATGAGGGGCAAGATCCTCTCAGGCGAATGTATCTTCTCCAGATCCAGCTGTGCTAAATAAAGACATGATCATCCCACCTTTTGCTGCTGGGGTTATTCCCTCCAGCTGTGATTTAAGCCTAAATGCTCCCTAATCTACTCCAGGCAAAATCAGGTGTGTCAGCCTGTAACCTAAATTTACAACACAGACACAGCTTTCATACAATCTCTGGCCTAGCAGATATACAATGGTCAGAGGAAACGTTCATCAACTCTGAGTGATCACAGTATCTGCAATCACAACAATAGAGTCCTGTCCACACCTGTAGTTAACCTTCAAACACTGATGTAACTTTGCCCATATGTAGGAATCTAGCAGTATATGTGATCCTAACTTAGATGTTTCCTATCTTATCTCTACCTATTCTTCCTTAAGGTCTCTTTCAGGTCCTGAGGTTCACCCCAGCTGACTGTCCCAGGAATATTAAGCATGGGAACAGACTGTCAAAAAAAAACCCAAAACATCAAGAAACCTCATCCTTTGAGGTTTTCAGTGAGTTATATAAATATCAGTGCAGGCAGATTGAAATAAAGCTGAGTGCCTTGCCCATTAGACAATCTCTCAACATCCTGCCACTTGCTATAGACGGAGCTTTGGCAAATTGTCTGCAGCAGCCCAAGAAATTTCTAACAGTTAAAATTACAATAAGTCCCATACTTTATTACCTGGTAGTGATGTGCTGTTAGCTGGAGCTGGCACATGAGTAATGGAAACTAGCTAGAAATGCTGAAAGCTACTATATGGAAAAAGTCAGAACCAGGTCAGCAAGAGATGACGCAGTTGGAGCACCAAAATGCCGACAGCTTTCTGCTGACGGGCTGAAAAGATATTCCAGTCCCACTTCCAGCAGTATCATTCTCCCTTGGACCATTTACTAACCCAGTTAAATCCTTGCCTTAGGAAACAACCCATTTTTCATTTACTTGGCCTTATGTCAACTTCATGCTCACCTCAACAAGCTGTTTGGGTGTTGTACATGCTCCTGCAGAAGCATTTAATGATATGATCAACTGGATTCTTTTGGCCTGAAGACTATTTTATTTCCTGCTGCAAGTTCTCTTATAACTCCTGGCATCATGAGCTAAGAGGTCTTCCTTCACTTTGCTGTGTTCAGTTGGAAAAGTGCAGAATAATTCCAAATCAATGCAACATTGCCATTAGGTCACCTAAATGTTGATGACTAACAGTTAATAATGATTGCAATTGATAAGAGTCTGAACGGAGCAGGACCCCTCTTTCACCTTTTCTCAGCTCTTACCAGCCTAAGATTCAACAGGTAAAGCATGCTCTTCCTTGTTTTGGAGAGTTTAAGTGCAAATTCCTGCTTATTTTATGTCCTTTCATAATACCATTTGGGGGGACAGGAGGGAATTGCTGCAAAACCCTCCTCAACACAAAGATTTCCAGTCCAGCACTGCTCCCTGTCTCAGTTTCACATCAGTTTGCAAAAGCTGAGCAGCAGTGGCTTAGCAGCCAGCTTGCTTGGCAGCCTGTGAGTAAAACCCAGCAGAAAGGGAAGTTTGAGATTGCATTTGTGTAGCAAGCTGTCACATAACCATGCTTATCATCAATAGTTTATCAAAGCAAGTTGGACAGACAGTTAAAAGTTGATACAGACACTCATAAAAGGTGATACAGATTCAACTGTCTGGCAAGCCTCAAGACATGAAGGAGGCCAGCTAGTGCAGATTTCAGAAGTCTGAAATAAAAGCAAAGCCCCCAAAATATAGGGGCAAGTTACAGAGAAGATAAACTATCTCTATTCATTTACTGGAACAGGGAACCTTGATCATGATACAAACATATTGTGCTTACTAAGAACGCAGATAAAACAGAAACATGACAGTTTGTACTGGTAAAACCACTAAAACTCATCCATAGGTAACTATGCCCAGAAAACAGCATTTTTTCAGTCTGCTACCCCCAAAGAACAGCAAATATAATTTTAATTTTAATCTTTTGTTACAGTTCCATAAAAAGATGGAAAAACTGAGTTAGTTTTCCGAGGAAATAATGAAAAAATAGAAGGAAAAGTTACAGAGAAAGCAGGTATGGATTTGTCTAAAGAGCTGAGGACTTGAAGCTGCCACCACAATCCAGCTCTGGAAGTACGAAGAATGATTAGCGTAGATGGAAAATGCTTTTCTGAGTAGCGAAGACAGAAAGTGCAGATTATTTCTGGTGCTGAGCCTGGCTGGTATCTTCTCAGCTCCTAAAAGCCAGCACCAGCACACAGTCCCATCTCCATCAACAGATCTGAGTCTGACAAGCGGTGTCAGGCAACCACAGACGTAGTAAGCAGTGCCAGTGCCTTGTAACAGTGTTGTAGAAGATTCAGACTTGGCTCACTCACCTAGATTCTTATTAAGAACAGCATTAAAAATCGTAACAGAGAGCAAAGAAGAAGAAGAGGGTGAAGAAGACAGAAGAAGGGGATCAAGGCAAGTCTCACATTTTACCCTGTGATGGTGACATGGAAACAGGTTTCTGGTCTTGTCTGTCAGGTCAGCCCAGTCCCAGGACAGCCAGAACTCACAGCTGATATGGAAACTCACCCCATCATTTATACCCATCACGTTGGCACCAAACTGACGATCCTCACAGGACTGACCTGCAAATCATTCATCCTCTTAAAATTGTGTCTGTTAAGTCTAACTCTCAACCAGCCATGTTGACTTCTGGATTTTCAAGGCGTTGCCCATCTGTCTTACCAAATACAAATAGCTCTTGGATTGGTTCAACCTTTTAGGTTGAAACCTTTGCATTCTTTACATACTTAATTCCTGCGCACTTTCAAAAGCAACTATTTTGTAGAACAGGCTGACCTGCTCTGTAGTCACTTTGAACACCCCCAGGAGCATCTGCCTATTGCCAAAGGTCCAAAGAAGCCTGACTCATGTCTTCAGGCCAATAAATACATCTATAGGTCACAGCACAGGTCTGGGAGTAGGCATCTGCCTGTGTTGATATCACTGCTGTGCCTCCCAGCCCATGCTGATGCAGGGGTCTCTGCAGTGTGATCCCTCTGACATCCCATGGGAGCTGCTACACAATGGGATCCCTGCATCAGGCACACCCAAAGGGAGGAGTAAGCAAGGGGACAGAGAAAGGAGGTTAGTGAGATGCAAGCAGAAGAGTAAAGGGATTGGAAAGACCACAAGGCTCATATACCAACCTGTGACCACTGTTTGCTCATCTCAGCAGGTTATTAGAAGACACTGTGGAACTGCTACTACACCTACAGCTATGTCTTCTCCTCCTGGTAAAACAGCTTAGTCCCTGAAGGCTACTCTAAGACACGTTCCAGAGCCAGAGATGCCCAACTGGGCATCCAGGAGCTGGATCTGTTGCTGCAAGGGAAACAAAACCAAGCAAAGCCTTTAGTAAAAGCTCTTCCTCAGCTGTGAACTGCAATTGCTGTTGGTGGCGATATGACTGTGCTGTTTACAAGAAACAGACTCATTTGCCGTGTTCTTAGATTGCTGGGAATGAAAGCCAACCACCTACCTCATCGCAAAAGCCAGCACCTAAAAAATAACCAGGCTCATATTTACAACCAACTGCACTCTAAGAATGGTGCCATTAGAAGGAAATAACCCTAGATGCTTGTTTTATTTAGAAGCAATCCCCATGCCTTACTGAGAGGTGTGTGGTTTGCAGTTGGTAGTGCCGGCTGCAGAACCTCATGACCCATGGGT